AAGTAGGCATTGCAACATCTCCGAACTGCTGGTTCTTAACTCTGCTCAATATTGCTCTTTGTAAGGAAACTCTGTATTTTAAAGATATATTTTTGTACACAATTTAGGGGGAAAAAAAAAAAAAAGCTTGCTTGTTCAGGGTTAAATCCTAACAAGCCTTTTGTAATCAAACTTTTATAATTGTGTGTGATCCACTGGAAGGTTTTCAACACCAAAGCTACTCAAATTTCATCCACGGCTGTGTCCCTTTCAAGACACTGAAGCCTTTTTTGTGCAGAGCGGATCTGTTGTGTACAGGGTGTGCTAGGAGGGCACAGTCCCACAGGTTTCTGATACACTTGTGGGAGGAGAGACATTGATTTATCGTACCAAGAAATGTCAGGGGTATTGGTATAACCTTCCAGAAGCATTTCTCTCAGGAGATTCTGAAGTCACTGCTCACTCACCCACGTTCTCAGCCACTTCAGCTTATTTTTGGTTGCATTCTACTACACAGGTTTCATTTTAAATATTGATTGGAACCTATTTGTCAAAATATCCTTTAATGAAGACTCTAGGAAACGGACTTTCTGGCACACATGCAAAACAAAGGTCCACCAAGTCAGAAGGGGTGGTTGGCAGATGGGGCCTGGCCCAGAGCAGAGCGAGACGCAGCAGCGGAGATGAGCTGGCAGGGGCCATGCTCTGCGGTCATACCCTGTTGAAGACCCCCAAAAAAAGCCAGGCAATCACATGGCACAATGTGAATCAAAAAAAGGGCTCTTCCCACCCCAGGACAACTGATTTCTGGTGCAGCCCTTTCTATCACCGTAGCTTCTTGACTTATATTCTAAAGAAATAACCTAAACCTATATCGTAAACCATTTTTGAAAAAAAAAATATACTCTTTAAGCAAACTTTCTAGTTCCATCAGTCACCATGATTTCATTTGTACTTTTTTCATGAAAGGAACATCACGCTCCTTGTAAGAATCAACTGAGATTAAGCTGTGAGGCAGAGAACTATGGCACAATAAACAGCAGCAAACTAGTTTGTCAAGGCAATGGTTCAAGTACTTGTTACCAAAAACCTGTTTTTCTTTCCTTTAAGATGTGCAATCATTCAAACTGGCCTGCGTGGCTGGTAAGCATGAAAATTTGTTCCACAAAAAACCACGAGGTTAAGAAACCCTTCAGAAGCACTGATATTTTGGGGCATATTTTCAGAGTTTGTTGAATTGCACTTCACAGCGTTAACACGTCTCACCCACGGAACATGGCACTAACTAACTTTTAAAAATCTGTGGAAGTATGCAGGTTTTTTACATGCATTTCACTGGCTTCTATTTAGACTTCAAATTACTTCATTGACTCAGTTAATTAACTGAATAGATTAGTTTTTACTTCTCTGAAAATTAGCAAGGCATCTTTTGCTACAGGCAGTAGCTCACTCGTCTTGCTCCGACGACAGCATACCTGGTGTATCGCACGAGCACTGCTCAGTGTTCTCGCCTCCCCTTTGAGTAACTATCACAGCCTCTGTAATTAAGACATCCTGCAGCCTACACGAGTTGATCATTGACTTAACGATATCAGAGGGAATCTCTCTGCCCGAAGGGTGGGATTTGTCCAAAAGGGATGCAGCCATACCACTTGCCATGGAAGTTCAGATGCTTCTGAGGTGAAGGCCACTTGTTGTCTAATGCTATATAAATCATGCTTATGAATTCTTTTAGGTGTCTATTGAAGTTCTGAAGTTATTAGCTCATTTTCACAAAATACGAACAGAGCATGCTGGACTAAAAAACAATTTAGATTTTTTTCTTTCTGAGCGTTTAAGCAGAATTGATGGCAGACAGTTTTGTGGATGGTGTGCGCTTTGAGAATTACTTTAGTAGTTTTCTGGGAATTCTTAATCCACATTTGAAACTGCCACTTCCAAGAAAACATGATCATGCTTAAAAGCAATATGCTCAGTGTAACTTCATAAACAATCCTGCAGCTGCAGGTAAAAAAAAAATTAAATGGAAGATTTAAGAGCCAAAATAAAACCCACAATACACATGATAATTAAACATTTTAAATGGGCTAGGTTTGGCTTAAAACCAGCATCAAAGTATTATACAGGGACGATCAGTAAGCTAAACTCTTCTTTAAGTGACCAAATACAAAACTCTTGCACACCCTCTTCCCTCACAAAAGCTTATGAACGTAATACAACCTGAGAGAAAACATTATCCTCTTCTAGCATTTTAGGCAGCAACAATACAACTTTAAACTATTCACTGGCAGAACAGGTTGATAATTACCAGCCCCACGTGAGTTACCGGTATCTTTGTAATCCTCTTCAGTTTTGATTTCAAGACTCATGCTACCTTCAGTTTCTTAAATCCGTCCATGTCTCCTGTTCCTTCTAAGCAGGCTTGCTGCAGCACAGCTGCCATTTGCCTTGCTGCCGCCACCACCCATCCTTCTTAGCTTTATTTTTTTGTACACTAGCTACCACCAGTGTTTTCAAAAATTTTTTGTAAACCACTTCTTAATTTCCTGCCACATTTTCTTTTCCTTTTCCTTCTTAATTTAATTAATATAAGGAGTATTTTACGATCATTTTCTAATGGAGACCTAGACAAAATTGTAAAATCAGATTACCTTAAATTACATTAAAAAAAGCCTGGTTATGGCAGGCTTAGTGTGCAACGCCAGCAGCATCCAGTAACAGAAGTAAACAACTATTGAGCTATGGGCAAGGTCTGCAGGTGAATCATTTTTGCTTTCTGACCAAGACTCATGTAGTTATCGAGAAATTCTCTCTGGCTTATAAAATCAAACATTCTCAGACTTTATCTCATAACTTAATCTTCTGTCTAGATTTTAGCTATCCTGTATATTAATATGTTCATTATTTTAAAGTATTGTGCTTAGGCATTTCCTATTGTGTAAGAGCAATATCCCAGACAAAAAAAAAAAGTCTTAAGTCATTGTGTTGGAAAGAATTTGATTAAAATGAAGTTACCAACCATTAAATAGAACTATATTTTAATTTAATAATAAGAGATTTAATGCAAGCTATTGTTTAACATGTTTTATACTCCACTCTAAAAGAAATTGATGAGGTAATGCTAGCAGACAGCTTGAGAAAAGTCAAGGATACCGGGACATTCCAAAAATCTTACTGTCTCCCGAGAACATTTTTTAACTCTGACATCAGCCATCTAATAAAATCTGAATCCAGCAGAGGTCTTGTGAATGCATTCAAAGTAATTCGATGCAAAATTATCTCCAAGACAGATGAAGTAGGAAAAAACTACTAGTTTTGGCTCAAAGATTTGCAGAAGAGTAAATCTTTGGAAATATACCTGACCTAGTAGCAGTGCAGATCAAAAGTTAGTAGTAAAGTGCCTAGTGTGATTGATACTAGGAAAAGCTAAGTAACGATGGTTAAAAGTAGCCACATTTCTCTCTCTCTTTTTTTTTTTTTAAAATAATATTCAAAGCACCAAACTAATTTTTGAAGTTTGTTACAAACCAGACACCCAATCAGAAGATCAGGAAGTAATACAGTCAGGAATTGTTTCATTAGTGAAATGCCCTAGAATGTTTCTTCTGACACTCCTTTTTCTTTGTATAGCATTACTACTTCAAGTTTACACATTTTAAAAGGAATTATTCGCAGACATTCTTCCCCTGAAACTGTTCTTGAACAGTGTGGCTTTTTGGAGTTTACGTGAAAATAGTTATTACAGTTTGGATAGCAAAGTGTCAATCAGTTTGCCCCCTCTAACAAGTGAAAGACTTTGGAAAAGTAGAAACACCTTAGAATTTATTTTATGGATCCATATTAGGTATCTAGTTTAAAAAAGAAAAACAAACACACAAACCAAAACAAAATCCACAACAATAAGGCTTTCTATTTAAATGTTAGAGACTCACATTTGAAATGTTAAACCTGCATCCCTGACATTAATCTGATCAGTGTACTAAAAACAGGCAGTAGCTTTCCCCTCCAAGAACACAGTTGTTCCTTTGAACAATTAAGCACGAATTTTTTATGAAATCCACATGATTTGATCTAGTTGCCTACATTTAAATTAAGTTGCCTACTGTGTTTGCATTCGAGCAGTTTATGAAACTTCTTCATGGTTAACTGTTGTGATGGATTACCAGGCCGGAAATGTTAACATTAACAAAGGATTTTATAATTACACAGAATTTCATGACTGAACAGGTAGATATGAAGCAAAAAATCTCACACTTCATCGTCAGTGTCCAATCTTCATTCAAACCCACTGAGGCAGCATGTAAGTATGTTGTTTTAATTTCCTTTTTTCCCCCCCCCCCCCCCCCGGTAGCTGGGTTTTTGCCTAGTTATCTTGTGAGATTTTAACTTAAAAAAATAAAATAGAAATCAATTACTGAAGAACTCAGTCCAAAAAAAACCCCCAAAACCCCACAAAACAAACTTTCTCAAAAATCAGAACAGTTTATCCATGAAAACTGTCCTTTCTCCTACGAAAAGCCAAGTTTAATAGAATGGAGATAAAACTCTACATAGCAAATTTCTAATTCTGACATTTTAAGAGAGATCTAATATTTTAAATGTATAAGGCAGTTCAAATTATGGAAGACACTTATTGTCATCTTGGGACACTGCATAAATCATACCAGTTCTTTCATTTTCTGTCATGGGATCACACTACAACATTGAAGAAAATCCATAAGGAAATGGTCTATTTGGAGCTAAAAGTGTAGCAATCTATAATTGGAAGAGGTGTATCATATTTCTGGGTGAAAGTTAAGTGTTGGTACTATATACTCAGGCCATCTGACCTTCAGTGCTATTATGTTTCTTGAAGTACTTCAAGCCTTTGAGGTGAGGAATGAAGTTGCAAAGAAGACCTAAATTATGTGTTGGCCAAAGCTTGCACTTTGAAGCAAAGCACAATTTTCAGCACATCTGATTTGACTCCTCCAGTATTTTTCCACGTAATGAGTGAAGATATTACTGTGTTAAAGAATTACTCACCCGATTAGGGACACCATCTGCTCCACTATATGTTTGCTGAATGTTATAATAACGAAAAGTTTCTGTAGGAAGGAAAACATCAGTTAGAGAAACATTTGATCAAAAGGGAAGCAGAGACAATGGGGTAGGACAATTTATGTTCCTTTCCAACCAGAGAGCTTCCCCAGCACTCACACAGTTTTCCCTTCTCTTTTCTCTCAAGATCTTTATTTTTCAGTACTCTTCAAAAAGAGGCAGGAGAGAGAAAAGCTGTTTACTTTATTATTCTATTTCTTCATAGATTTCATTTCTTGCAATGTTTTTGTAGCCTGTGTTACTAACCATTTGCATCCTCCCCAAACTTAAATTCCCAGAAGCTCAAGGTCGCTTCACTCCCTCAACAATGTTTTAATGGAAAAAGAGTCATCACCACGCAGAAAAATTCACATCCCCTTACACAAACACATGTACTTAAAGACCACAGAAGTGAAAAGAATGTATCTTTTAGTCCCCTAGTTCATGTGCTTCAGACAGAAACATAACAAAAAATACTTAGTGAAGAACAAAGCAAGAGCCATTGGGTACCTGTCTGTTCAAAACAACTTAAGATTGTCACTGTCTAATGCAATAGACTATTTGGAAGAGAGTAACTTCAATGAAATAAACTTCTCTAACATATAGCTTATTTTGCAGAAAATCCAAATGTCCATAATTTTACCACTCCCTTCTCTTCTAACACAAGTTAAAATTTTGTTAATATAGCCTTTGCTAATTCCATTTTTGTCACATTTGACAGCTTATTTGTAAGCAAAGAGTGAGCAAGACTGTGTGTAGATGCGTATAGACACACACACAGTTCCCACAGCCCCCTTAAATCAATTTAAACACGATCTAACGAGAACTGCATTCACTAGTCTGGAAATAAGGGATATGACTAGAACTACACAAAACGATTTTGTGGTCTGGGGGAAGAGGCCAGTTAAAAGCAGCTCCAGGATGGCCACTGCACCAGAGTCACTGGCTTCCTGTCTAGAGAAGGATTTCATTAAAAGCCTTTCCACGACACTTACGTTTCCTAAATTCCAAATTGCAGCAAGATCACTACAAAAATCAAGGCTATTGCACAAGATGCTTGAAATCAGGCATTGCAGAAAAGAGAATTCTAATAGCTAAACGTATTACAAAATAAGATGATTTACCAACTGTACAAGACACTGGGAAATATTTTTTCCACTTACATTTGATCTGATTGTGGAGCACTATAAATTACACAGCAAACATTCTGCTAGCTAAACAAGACAAATAAAATAATAAAAGGAATATTACACAAATACTATTTCACTTTTCTATGTTGCCAGGACAAATTCTAACAGTACACAGATTTAAAAGCAGAAGAATTCAGATAACACAAAAATAAGTGTGGAGAAAAAGTTGTTCCATCACAGTAAATGAAAGAATTTTCAGATCTATTTATTATTTTCTGTTTAAGGACTGGGCAAAGTAAAATAACCATTTACCAAAAGATGGGAAGAAAAAAAGTGTTGAGGATTGAACTCTTCAGTTCAGGGCAAAAGAAAGATTTTTAAGCAGCTTGATGAGGATACTAGATGAGTAATTTTATACTACTAATAGCTTCTGCTATTTTAATGCAGTGACAGCAAAGATTTCCAAGCAACACAGCTACAGGCACTGCACCAGTCCTATGGAGATGCTTAAAAAAAACCAAGCCCCAGCTGAAAACATTGGTTCTAATCATTACAAACACAGCAATGTAGTTCATGATATAGCACTAACCACACCGCCACCAGTAAAGAATCACCAGGGAATCAACGCTTCACCTTTCATTGGACAAAAGGGTGATGCATTTTAAAAGCAAGACTAAACGTTTCTGAAAGCAACTGGAGAGTCTGATTGCCAAATTCAGAACATCCAGTAAGGCTCTGAGGTAGCAAGAAAAACTGGACACACTCTGAAATGAGGCCCTTTCAAAATAATAGAGACCGAGGACACCAAAAATTGCTAACCGTGCTTGAAAGCTATGGACAACATGCCCAGAGACATTCCCTCAGACTGCTTTCTCCAGAGCCTGAAAGAAGTGGGGCTTTCTCTACAAGCTCAACTGAGATAAAAGGGAGCATTTAAAAGTGCCGCTTAACTGGTAAAGGCTAGTTGCAGTGCTCTTTGAAATGAGTATTTGTTACCAAAAAGGCAAGTTCATTATGAGTACGAAGTCCTTTCAGTCTGGTAAAAACCGTAGGTAAATAACTTGGCTAACCACCAATTTCCTGAGTGGTGTAGGCAGCGAGCTCATTAGTTTGTAGCTATAAATTATTCAGTTGCAAAGTTTTGAGCATAAGCAGCCTAGCAGATCCTTTATTGTAAATCCTTTGCACCAAATTAATTTCCATTACTTCAGGTCAGGAAGGGAGACTCCAGAATTCATTACGAAGTAAAACAGCGTAACAGTCAAAATAGATAACAAAAGTCTTCACCCCACAGCCCTAAGGGAGGTGTAGTACTTGCCTGGATGTGCATTTTAATTACTGCTTTCCCAATCAAGGTTGCACCAAAGAAGGTCCAGAAGGGAACCAGAAAGTGTCCACATGTTATGCCGGCCAGGTCAAACAGAGGGTTTGGAATCTATGAAGTGCAAGGGAAAGAAGTTCATGAATTGCAGCATGCGCTTAAGATGAACAGGAACATTGCAGACTTTGAAACTTTGAAAAATGAACATTTTTTCCCTTATTCAACTTGATCCAAAACTCCTGTGTCTTAATACTTAGAAAAATGTTAATATTGCACCACATAACTTAAGTCTCTGGGATTCAGCTAGACAATGTCCCAGACAATTCCATTCTCGTGGTCCCTTCCTTACCCCTGGATTTTAAAAAAGCTAACAAAAAGTTTTCCATGTGAAATGCACAGAAACCACAGTAAAGCCATTTTGAGTGATTTATCAAGTTTTCTCACTGACAAGCACATCACTCTTGGAAGCTAGTTTTCAAAATGATCCCCAGTGATTTCCATCTGAGAAAGTACATTAAAAACTGGCATTTACAGTCATATGTATCCAGTTTAAAAGCACTGATTAGATTTTACTAAGCATACGCATTTCATTTAAAATTAAAAGTTTTTTTATTGTTAAACTGTTGGCTTGATATTTGGTAATGTGATATTATCTGTAAAATATTTTTGAAATTAAACCAAGAAAGTATCCAAATTCCAACCTTTCACACTTAGCATGCAGTACAAGGGCAGACTGTCTGAGTAAACACACGGGGTATGTGGAATTCGCAGTAGCAGTGTATTACTGGGCTAATATCCTGCAGTGTTTGTGTTGTTTTGTTACACAAACAGATAGCGTAGATTGTTAAAGACTATAAAAGACAGTAACTTTGCAACTGACTGAACAGAAATCTGAAATGTGTGAGAAAGCTTATGAGGGTTATACTTAACTGTTATAGACCAGCAATTCAAATTTATGAGCACCCACACACCACCACCTGCATAGGAAGAAATCTGAAACGGTCTCTAATCATGCTCCGAAACGGTCTCTAAACATGCTCCACTTCAACTAAAATGATTCTTTACCTGTGACAGCTGTCTTAGGCATAGGAGGCTAGTAAATTATTTACTTACACCACAGTCAGATAATTTTGCCCTTCTGACCCAAGTCTGTTCTAGGTCTCCAGTATGTTCTTGGTTGGTTGGTTTGATTATTTTTTTTTTTGGTAAGTTCACAGTACATTTTAATTACTGAATTACTATCACCATAGAGAGAGCAACATGCTTTTGGTAGGGGTAACTGTGGATATCATCAATACATGAGATGTATCACAGTAAAAAGTTACTCAACAAGTCCCCATTAAGGTGTATTAACAGGCCAGCAAAGTTTTCTCTTTGTTTTCGAAAAACCACACACACTGAGTACTGAGAGCTGCCAAAAAAGCCCACAAAGGGAGGGGGTAAATTCTCACAAGTCACAGCAAGGATCTTCCAGGGCTAATTCTTGCTTTGTTCCTTCCCCAGACCTGCCTTTACATAGGAAATAAGCTCCAGACAATAATATGGCTTTCTTATCACCACTAAACAACATTACATTCAGTTGACTTCACTAGGAAAACTTGCAAAATTTTAAATTCAGTTTGATTGTGGTTTTATGTAGCATTTAGAAGCCACCGCTTGACAGACAACAACCTGCAGCTAGGACAGTCATTACCACTTTACAAGCAAGTTCTCTAACTACAAAAAATACACCCAACTAAAATACTGCTTAAAATCCAAAAGTAAAATCACAATTATAAGGGGGGCAAGTAAAGGAGACACCTAGCAGCCAGAGAAGCAAGAGAAGCTCTGAAACAAAGCCCTGAAGCTTGTGGGGGAACGCACAAATGCAAGGAGCACACACGGGGGGCTGCCTTCCTCACCTGCAGCTGCAACAAAAATGTATAGCCTTGAATCCCCATGCTTTTTCAATGCCTCTGCCAGGTTTAACCTCCCCCTTTTTACTGCTACTCTGCAGTTATTCTGTAAACACATTTACAAATCCTCAAGTGTACTGTGGTGGATTCATGACTCCTCATCCCTCCCCAACCCAGAGCAGCCTATATAAGCAAAAGGAAGCTGGAGCTCCGAGTGCCTTGAAGAGCAGTGCAGCAAATAGGTAAGAAGTTAAGCAAATGTTTAAGGATTACTAAGCAGGAACTATGAAGAGTTTACATATCACCTCTCATGTTTACCAACTCCTTCTTCATGTTCCCCATTTATCCACACTTCACCTTGTCCAGCCACTCCAGTAACTCATCCCTGCCATTTACAAGCTGTTGTTCTGATGACACAAGACAGACGGAATAGCCCATGCAGTGCTGTCTCACAAGATGGTGACTAGAGAGTAATGAGTCAGAGGCAGTGATGGAGCAGTCTAAGAGCTTACTGGATGGAAAGATTTAAAGAACAGCTTGTAACCTCCGTCCACTCTAAACATTAAGATGGTTCAAAAGATTAGTAGAGAGAAGTTGTATGGTAGCAACTATAATCAGATTAATTCCTTCCAGCCAACAGAGGTTACTTACATTAGAGCAAATAGTTAGTATTGTCATGTCTACAATTTAAGAAACTAAGAGAGATGCCAGAGAAGTGAGGAATTAATACTTTGTCAGCTGAGCAGCTGGCTAATGGCCATGGTTATTCCAGAAGAATGGGATCATAGGGGACCTACACTTCCCCCCTTCCCTGTAATCACATTTCTGTGCACCACTTCCCACATTTTCTGTGTGAGATGGAAGAATAAGGCACACCATTCCTATCAGTTTTCATGAAGCTTCCAGGGAGAAATTTAAACTTCAAATAGTTTAATATTTTTCTACTCCAAGAGAGTAGTATTATCCTACTTAAAACACTAAAATAGCATCAGTGGAGGTGCTCATATCACCTCTTGCTCAGAGAAAAAAAAAAGCTACAAGTAGTTTGTAGTTCATATAGCCATGACTCTGAAACTTACTTCCTCTTTCTGCTCTCTCTGGTTCCTGATGACCCAAAGATATCTCCTGAGCAGACTTAGAATTACTACAGATGGATATCCTATTCAGGATTTATACAGGTAGTTTTCCACTCTTCAATCTGTGTATATCTTTGGATTTGAAGATGTCAAGCACTGTGAGCTATAGTATATAAACACCTAAAGAAATTATAATATGGTTCCAGCAGAATCTATAGGTAGTCATACAGCTCTTGCTGTATCTTGCCAGCTAATAATCCGGGCTAGGAAAGTCCCAAGAGGATAACTGTCAGTGGGCATATGATCTCATCTGCCAAATATCTGAGCAGTGAGCAGGAGCGTGCGTATGCCTCTGTTAGAGAAGACATGGCCTCAACGTCAAATGCAGGGAGCATCCCTCGTCTGAAACAAACAGAGAAACTTCCTGAATTTTAAGAATGTCTTAGTTCAGTCTCCTGAAAGTCTTCCTTACTGTGACAAGCCTTTTGCATCTTCAGTGAAGCGACCTGGTTTTAATTAGGTTTCACCACACCATGCTGAACTATAGAAGGAATTGCTTTATCTTTTGAAAAAAAGGGATCCCTTGCTGCACCATTCTTTCCTGATGGATTAAAAAGGAAAAAGAACTATTCCAAACTCATTGTCTTCCAAGCAGAACTACTGTCAAGAAGCCCAACGGTGAAGTTGAAGGATGGGATAACAACTGTTAGCTGTGCTTTTATGCAGAATTCACTGCATAGTTTGGTACTAATCTAGGACTGGAGTTTCTCCATGCTATTGTACTTGCCAGTACCACAACCATCCCATTTCTCTACACACCACAGAGAACAGAGAAATAGCAAAGGCGGCACGAGGAGCCATATGGACTCAAATAAAACCAAGTCCCAGTTTACAGCATTGATTTCATCGCAATACATTCAATCTGCAATGTGTGATTACAAAGCCCTCTGTTACTGAAATGAACTTACTGAAGCGCAGGCCAAAATGCCAAAGAACCCAACCTTCTGCACCAGGTTCTGGACAGCCAGTTTAGCCCGGGAAGCAAAATCCTGCAAACAAGAAAACGAAGTATTAGTGAGGCAAAACTCAAAACGAACATATCTCAAGATGTATGTGAAGTCAATATCCTCCATGCTTTGGGATTTCCTAACCAGCAATTGGGAGAATTTTTAAAACAAAAAGGCCAGTTTGAAACTCTGGGCTTAGAGGGAAGGGAAAGAAATTCACAGTGCTCAGTGTGAAAATCTGACCACCCGCATGCATTGAGTTTTGGTTTTCAAAACTCTGCAAGTGGCACTAAGTTCACACTTCTATGGAAACAGGTTTTCTAGTATTTATTTCCCCATATCTTTGAATGTGCTGCTTATACCTTATTCCTTAAACAAGCAAAGGGAATTAATCCTTTCAATACCATTTACAATGTTAAAAAGGTACTTTCTTAAAAACACAGAGACAGAATATAATAATCCCATTATACCCTTAGAGCTTTTCTCTCCAACCCAGGATCTTAATCAAAACAGCCAATTCCAGGTACTCTCTACAACAGACTGTAAAGTTCTTTAAATTCATGGAGTTGAATCTAAAATACCTTAAAAGCAACAAAGGTGTTAGACCATATAACTTTCAAGCTATTCTTTACAAAGCCATGCTAAGAACACGCTGCCTACTTTTATTTTGTGATCATAACTTTCAAACATACTCATGACAAACTCATGAGTCTCAAAGTTTACCAAATACACAGTAAACATTTTAAAAAGCAAAAATAAAGATTCTCGCAAGCAGTTTTTGTGAATGCGAAAAGTGAATTTACATGAGAATAAAAGTCTTTTGAAGCAAAACTGACCAAGAAGCTAAAACCAGTGTCAGTATTATCTATTCAGGTCTGGCACCCAGCAGTTATAGAAAGCTGAGTATCTTTGGTAATAGCAAACTTTAAGAAGTAATTATTAATTCTTTTTTGAAAACCTACAAATAAGCAATAAAGAGGTGATTTTCCAGTAGCAATGCAATATTCACAGATTTACATTTTGTAGAAAACTATCAGATAAATTTCAGAAGGAAATGGCTTTAATCAATAATTAATGATATTCTAAATTTCACAACTCACTATTGAAGTGTAGAATTTAGAATATCATTAATTATTGATTAAAGCAATTATAAGATAATCCAGAAAAATTAAATTTATGTATTTTTAACTTTGTTACAATTCTGTTGAAAGCTTTAATACTAGTCACCAATGCAAGTAAATACAATTACTTGACAATGTTCTTGCATATTATTTAAATTTTGAATTAATAGAACCAACATAACTTTCTATGCCAGATCAAAAAAAAAATAAAAAAAACTGTGATAAGCCTATTTGCTATCTTTTTACACTCCTTTTTCAAGTAGTAACTTTTCTCCATTACAGTGCTTTAAAAATAGTTACATTCTCAAATAAAAAAAAATAACAATTCTTAATGAAATAAGAATAATTCTACTTCTTATACATGATGTTTGAAAAAAATAACCCAAATTAAAACAAATACTTCCACTTAAAGAAAAAATGCAAATAAATGAGATTTCCTACATCTTACAGTGGGACACTTAACCACAGGAGAATATAAAAACTCTTATAGAATATTCTGTAAGGGGTGAATTTGCTAACTTTCACCAGGAGTAACACCTTGGGGCTGTGAATGCCTTATTGCAAAAGGAATAGATGAAATATCCACTCTTTGTTGAAAACTTGTTCCCGATATTTTCCTATTTAACTTCTAGCATACATACAGTACGCATGAGTGATTAAAACCCACTCCCAGTAAGGCTGATACCAAACACTTGAACTTATGTTAGAAGAAACAGGTCTAGAACATGCCTACGTGACAAGTAAAGTAAAGTTTGTCATGTTTTTCCATTAAAAGAAGGCATTTTGACACAAATTGTTCTAAATAATAAAACACGATAATTTACCAGTGAACCAAGTCCAAAAATCTTGCAACATTCAAGGGCAGTTCCTTCTCCAACTAGAATTCCCTCATCATTATTTCCAAGTTAGTAACAAAACCAAAACAAAATATAATACTTGGTCACTAATAGGGGTCAGCCCTACTATACACATTCAGTCCCACTGAGGGTTTAGGACATGAACTGAAAAGGGTGCAAGTCTCTTCTGCGGAGTGTGAGCACACAGCTATCGACAAAGGATGTAAAATGCAGCACCCTAAGGAGACAACAGGTATTCTAATTCCTTAACCAAATACAAAAGTAGAAATATGTCTTCAGAATGTCTCTAGAAATTAATTTAAAATGAAAAAGTATGCTAAAGCGTAACAGCAACACTGTCCTTTCAACAACAGACTTTGTTCTTTGAAAAGGTGAACTGAAAAAGTAGTGCCTTAGGTAGGAATTTCATAAGATATCTCCCTCTGTACTCTACAAAGCTGAATGTGACCATGATATTTTCAGTTCCTATTTTGTTCACCATTTCACAATGCTCATGGGGTTAGAACAATATTTTCACTTTTATAAGCCAATAAAGATTTTTTTTCACAGCTCCATAAATCTCATTGTAAAGTATCTTTAAAATAAAACACTACAATCCAATTGTTCAAATAGGTCCATGATTTATTTCAGTGGAAGTTATTTCTATTCTAATTTTAACATATTTACCCATTATCTTTGACTGCATTGCTAATACTGTTGTATTAATTTTCATAAGCTGGAATTGGAACCAAACTCTCAAGCAAGTAACTTATAAACTCGTGCCTGCAGCACAGCTGGTTTAATAAGATATAATTATACATAGATTGACTGTATTAACTTAGTGTAAGCACAGGGCACCATTTTTCATCAAATTTCTTAAAAATAAACAGTTTTCCTCATCCACATTTCTAGGCTGCTGCAAAAATTCAAGGCTGTCTTAAAACTAATTTTTTCCCTCCAGCTAAAAACATACAAATTTAATAAAAGCAATGATAAAAATGTTGAAAAAGGTGTAATAAGTTTGTCTGTCTCTCTCAAAAAAACAAAAACCCCAAAAAACCCAAACCAACATTGGGGCAATTTTTCTCACCTTATGAATTAATAACATTCTTTTTTTACAGTTATTACTCACATTGTTTCTTCTTAAAGTTTTTTTTACATTCATTGTCTATTACAAAGGACTCCATGGAAAGCACAGCTATAGTTCTAAAAATTTCAGTCAAGAACTTCTAACTTGTCTTCCTTTTTCAAACTTTCTAAATAAGCCAAAACAGATAAATTAAGGATTTTTCCACCTGTTTTCTATGATCTAATGGAAACGTAGCTACAAATAATTTGCATGGTAATATACTCATCAGGGTTGCAACAAAACTATGCATTTGCAGTCTCAACATTTACTTTCATGCAAACAAGTTCAGAAATACTTCTGTTTGGTTGCTTCCTTAAAAATTTCGTTTGTCAAATCTTTGCGACATCTGCAATAATAAAAAAAAAACCTTAAAAGTTTCATTTCTCAGAGAATACAATCATCAGTTTCACAACTTTTACCTATTTCACAATATAATTTTTCTGGTATAAAGCCTGCGCAGGGAACAATCTTTTCTCTACGTTTTTAAGCATTTGAAATAAGAGCAAAACAACTTTCACAACTTACTGCTTTAAAAAAAAAAATAAATTAAAAAAGACATAAAAGTTTAGCTACTTACAGGCAAAACATTTTCCCCCAAAATTAAAGTATCTAGACTGGACTCGCGTCTCAGCTAATATGATTCATTCCCTATAACATTTCAGGATACTTTAGCTCACTATGTCCCTTTCAAAGATGATTTGTCTTTTTGGTTTGGAAATAGATTTCCTGTGACTGCTACAATACAGGCAAAGGAAGGTTAAATGATTAAACATTACTTCATTGGGTTAATCATCAGATCTCAAAAACTGGAATGGAAATAAGAGGCATAAAAAGGTCAGTGCTGAAATACTGATTCACAAGTCTCAGCTGGCGGCTTGAGGAAGTTTGCTTCATATCTGCCTTCAGTAAAATGGCACATTTTATTGATACCAGCATTTCATTACTACATGTTGCAAAAGCAAAAAACTCTCCCAAATCTCCAAACCTAAAGGGACAGTAAAGAGAAATTACATGTTTTGCTGCTAAGTAAGATTTACCACAATGTTCCTCCTCTAAGTATGCATTACGGTACAGCTTTGAGTATAACTTAACATGGAGCATTCATCCCTATAAAAAAAAAATAAACCCTTCTTGTTGAAAGAGTGAATGGACAATCTTGTCTTAACTACAGGGCTTCGTCCCATCCCTCTGTTTTGTTTCCATTTATAATTTAATCTCTATCTCTTCTTTCTCTCTTCACTGTAAAGTAAGTTGCACAAGCTTTTCTGTATTTGAGTGAAGAGCATCTCACCAGACTTGGTTGACAAGCTCGAGAAAAAAAAAAAAAAAAAAAAAAAAATGTAAATTCTGTAACACCGATTTATTATCAGAAAACAGAATGGTCACAATTCATTGTTCACATTGAAATTGTAAAGCCTCTTTTTTCTTAATCTCTAAGAACAGAGATTGTTGATAAAACCATAGCAAGTAACTAGTTGATGGTTACCAAGGAGCTCTGAATAATCAGCACTGGATTGAATCCCACCATCCTCACAGAAACAACCCGTCAGACCTCGACAGAAGATATTTTCTTGAAAGACTGCATAGATGGGCCTATAACAATTATGCAATGTAACCGTTTATTTTCTAACAAAGTTGCAATCAGTTTTTAGGAGCATCAAGAAAGCTCTGACTCCCTATCACAAACCAACTCTTCCTTGCATGCAGCAGTGATGATAGCTGTCGGGCTCTGAAAGATGTGATCCAGACTTCCAATGATTTGAGGCCCAGAAAAAATTTTTCTTCTGTCACAATTTTTTTCTGTCGTAAATACATCAAGCACTTTACAAATATATTGGTATATTGGTGACTATAGCACAAAGAGGAAGGCCAGTAAAGAAGGGAAGGAATATATGAGATGAAATCCAATCCTAAATTCATAGCATATGAATTCTCTACTAGTAAGAGCAGACAGTG